TGGATATTTTAGACTAAATGTAAGAAGGAAACTGTCTCTTCTCCACTCCAATTGCCACATTTTCTGCCAGTATTTGACATGTTGCACATTTTTTCCTTTAAAATGATTAATGTGTTGTGTTTCCATTCTACAAAGCAGCTGAGGCATGTGATTGGATGACGTTGCAAAGAATCGAATAACAGTTTAACGCCACATCATTTCACACTTCACACATTTGGCACCAAAATGCAGAGTTATAACTGCAAACCCAATGCTAACGCTACACTTGAATGGGCTATTTGCACAGCTAGTGTTTTTCAGCCAATGATAAACTTCTTATGAAGGCTTAATGTGACTATTTTAAAATTCATAAGGTTCCTTTTACAGCATTGATGTTGTAATGTAGACAACGCAGTGGCGCAGTAGGTAGTGCTGTCGCCTCACAGCAAGAAGGTCGCTGGTTCAAGCCTCGGCTGGGTCAGTTGGCGTTTCTGTGTGGAGTTTGCATGTTCACATGGGTTTAATCCGAGTGCTCTGGTTTCCCCCACAGTCCAAAAACATGCGCTACAGGTGAATTGGGTAGGCTAAATTGTCCTTAGTGTATGATTGTGTGTGGATGTTTCCCAGAGATGGGTTGCGGCTGGAAGGGCATCCACTGCGGAAAAGTTGGTGAAGAATGTTTGAAGAATTTCATAACCATTGACTTCTATAGTAGGAAAAACAAATACTATAGAAGTCAGCGTCAGCGGTTGCTGGTTTCCAACATTTTTCAGAATACTTTCTTTTTGTTCAATAAAAGAAAGAAACTTTTACAGGTTTGTAACAAGTGAAGGTAAATAAAAATGATGGCAGCATTTTCAGATTAGCTTGAAGCATCAAGTTGGCCTATTGTGCAAAAATCACTTACTATAAGGGGTTTGAACACAGTTGTGTGGCAACCATGTATAAATATAGACAGCATCTAATGGTAAAAGTTATTAAATAAACTTTAATAATCACACTTTATAAAAACTGTAAAAACACTTTGTTTGACATTCTCCCTTTGTACATGTCATTCAGGCCCGTAGCCAGGGGGTTTGGGTGGTTCGAAAGACCAACTCCCCTACTGACAAAGTCCAGGTTTTGGCTGCTATACAAGCTCAGTTGCCCCATTTTTGACAGTATGCCATCATAAATTGTAAAAATAACCAATAGAAGGCAACTTTAAGAAAAATGCTCACTGACGAAATGTGCTGGCCAGTTTGGTATTTGTATTTAGGCTACAGTTTTTAATTTAAAACAGTTTCCTAATTGTTTTTCTTTTTTTTAATGATGGATGAAAATGCATTTATATTTTAAAACTAGCATATTTTTATATTTCTTTGTTCAACATAATAATTTTTAAAATTAAGCTGTAATAACCTACAGCTTTAATGCTAATTTCTAAATAAACACTTTGAGGTAAAATAGTATGGTAAGCGCTGTACAAATGTAGGGTATGCTTTTGTTGCATCAAAAAGTCTGGTTATTATAATTACCATCTGACAAGCTGGCCCAACAAAAAATTGTGTTTAAAATGTCACTAAAATGCAGCATTTGAACCTTATAGTTTAATAATTTCACAAAAGTAAATTTTTTGAGAAAAAAAATAGAACCACCTCTTTCTAGATGCTGGCTAAGGGTCTGTCGTTAGATGAGAAGTCCTGCACATTAGTGATGATTTCTCTCCCATTAGCATAGACAGCCCTGAGTGAGAAGCAGCCATCTGTTATTAGAGATTTTAGTCTGCCACTATGCTGACACACAGGTGTTCATAGCTCTACCCTCTTTTGAAAATAGCACAGTCTCATTCAAATTTAAAGCAACAGTGATCAAAACAATTTATATTCAGTTTAAAAAGCTAATAAAACATTATTTGTGGGCTATTTTGGGCAGAAACTTCACATACACACTCTATGGACATTAGAGACCTACTTACATCTTTTAAAAAGGGGTATAAATCCCCTTTAAGCAGGATTTTGTTAAGCCTGCTTCTCAATTACAAATATGAAACACTGTTTTACCTGGAGCTACAAGTGGCATTTAGAACAACAACAAACCAGGGAAGTAAATAAATGCTTTAAAAAGTAGTAAATATATTACTACACAAGCCCAGATATTCCCACAAAATAAGGCTTTTACTGTTGATAACCCTGGTTCATTCTCATCTAAACCCATAGGTAAACAATATGCTGGGTTATCTTTCTTCAGGGTTCAGATTTAACCAAGTTAACAATTAATCCTGGGCGTTCTTAAATTGCTGTTTTACACTTTACAAACCTAAATCTTGGGTTAAAGTTAACATTTTAGGTGTCTGTGTCATTGAAGTGTCATTGTGCACACGGCTTGTGTATATTAAAAGGATATTTGACCCCAAAATTTAAATTTACTCACTATTTGCTCACTGTTGAGTGGTTCAAAACTTTAATGAGTTTCTATCTTCTGTTGAACACAAAGGAGAATGAATTTTAAAGAATGTTGAAAAACGGTAGCATATTACAAACAAGTCAGTTTGTCAATTGCTACCAGTTTTTAACATTCATTAGTTCATTCATTTTCTTGTCAGCTTAGTCCCTTTATGAATCCGGTGTCGCCACAGCGGAATTAACAGACAACTCATCCAGCAAATTTTTACGCAGCGGATGCCCTTCCAGCCGCAACCCATCTCTGGGAAACATCCACACACACATTCACACACACATTCGCAAACACACTCATACACTAAGGACAAATTAGCCTACCCAATTCACCTGTACCGCATGTCTTTGAACTGTGGGGGAAACCGGAGCATCCGGAGGAAACCCATGCAAACGCAGGGAGAACATGCAAACTCCACACAGAAACGACCAACTGAGCCAAGGCTCGAACCAGCGACCTTCTTGCTGTGAGGTGACAACACTACCTACTGCACAACTGCTTCGCCGCAGTTTTTTAACATTGTTAAAAATATCTTCAGAAGAAGAAAGAATGAGAAGAGGAAGAATGAGAAGCTAAATGATGACAGAATTAGGGGAGCATGGGGCAGAAAGTAATGCATGGTAAAATGTAACAGAGTCTTAAGGTATTTGCTTAGGGTTTACTATGGCATATTTCCGAGATTTTCACAACAGTGTCAGCAGGCATCTATCTATCTAGCAATTATTGAAAATGTTCGGTGACATATGGATGAGAAACACAAGCTAAACCATTTTTCCAGCATAAAAATTCTTATTTTTTATATACTCTATATTTGTTTATTTTTTAAAAATCTGTGAAAGTATGTACGTAAAATCTTATATTGTTGTGATTACCGTCTTCTAGGCTAAAGATGGAACCATTTTGAAAGAAGTAAAAAACACACAGTGACTACGAGCCAGTTTTGAGGAAAACACGTCACAGTTACAAATAAGCCAGACACTGTTGGACAACAATTAAACTCAAAATAATTGTTGAATTTGAGTGTAAAAACTTTTTAAATAAAATACTTTTTAATAATAAAAACTATTAAATTGTATTGCTAACAATGCAAAATATTTAACTGTATAATGGATAATATTGCAAATAAATCCAAATGTGTTTATCCAATAGATAGATAAATAAACATGCTGTGCTATATGGAATAACAAAATGAGTTAAGAACTGAGGAAATATACTATTTAAAGTAAACTGAATTTAAATTAATTACTGTATGTGTGATCTGACTTTTTAAGTGTGTTCCAACTAACCCTCTGTCTGTTACAACTTGCCCCACAGGTGGGGTAAATAGTAACATTTTTACTCCTGGCACTTTTGGCAATACTGCACAGAGACCTTCACACTTTCAATGCTCATTTGTAATAAACGCTTGTGTGTTGTTGGAAAAAAAAAAGGTTTGTCTAACCCAGAGATGCCCAAAGTAGAGCCCGCTGGCCAAAGTTGGCCCATTGTAACCTTTGATTTGGCCCACCATTCCATTTGAGAGGAGAATGAGTCTGATGGAGAGGGTTGGGACGAACACCTTAAACACAGCGATTGTCATTTAGAATTTGACGAAACCATTTTTGTTTGTTTTATTCCTGAGCTCCAAAAAAAAGTTAAACTAAACTTTTCAATTAAATGTTGTAAATGAATCTGATTTTAAACAGTCACTCGACGAATAGAGGACCACAGTATGCAGAAGGCATCAGCAAATAAAACAAGGCAAAAAAAAAAAACTAGTGTAATTCTGTTATAAATTAGATTGTTTTGATTTTATTCTAATATATTAATTATTAAACGTAAAATTAATCCCACATCAGTTTATATAAAGTTCGGTTTTTGGTCCTTTATAAGAATAGTTTGGGCACCCCTGGTCTATAACCCCATTGCTTTGTTCATTATTTGGTACTTTGTGCCCCGTTCTCCCCTACACATTTTGGTGAACTACCAATTTAAATGCAAAGAAAAAATATTTAATTTACACTGTGTTGGTTTTGAAAACCATAATATGTTTTCCAGAACAAGCTGCTCTTCTGGTTATTCTGACATTTCATTCTGATAGGCTTGAAAAATCCCCGAATCCCCTTTAAAGACAGGCTGATAGGTCGACTAAAACCAGCAAACCAGTTTAGGCTGGTTTGAGTTTTTTTTCATCAGGGAAGCTCACATGAACACTGTTTTAACAAACTCCAGTCATGTTCATATTGTTATACATCCGAAAAGAGTGACTTATATAATAATTTTGTTCGCCACAACGACACATGAATCTAGAAATAGGTTCTTTTTAGAAAGTACGTCAATTTTTACCGGTGTTTTTTTTTTATCGTCTCCCTCTTCCTCTCTGTCTATGTACCGGCCGGCAAACCATGCAGACACACCTCCTAAACTCTCAAAAAAAGCCAACCCGACGTTTCCCGAACAGCCAATCAGCTGCAGCGCAGTGATGGCCGCGTGCCTAAATAGAATGTTTATGTACCGCGAGAGCCAATCGGAATCAATGAGGGGCGGGCCGAGCGAATCTCGCCTGGCTGCACGCGCAGGATAGAGTGGGCGTGGCGTCAGGCGAGAGAGAAAAGCAAAACAATCATTTTTATCCCCTTTACCGGCTGCTTTTAGGGTCCGTAGTGAAATACGCTCTCAGCAGGGAGTCGTAGTCCACACAACACTGTTAAATGCATCTTATCCCGCTCTGCACTAAAATCTACCGACAGCTGGTGATTTTGCTTTAGTTGTATTTCATCCAGGTCGAAAATGACTTCCAAGCGCCTTCTCGAGCCGCAGCGAGCCGGCGACTGCACGCCCGAAGGGGGCTGCACCGGCCAGCGAGAGCCTGTCACTGGAAAAGCGTTCAAAACAAACACGCAGCTGCACGAAGGCGCTATAAGGAATCTTAGCAAGGAAATCTCTCAAAACGGACATTATCATACCTCAACGAGGCACTACATTCATAAGAAAGTAAGTGAGCCATGCTCATTTGAAGTTTGCATTTCTTATTTTGACAGTTCTCTGCATGTATACGCCAAATCAGATCGGAAGTGCTTGTGAAGTACTTGTCAGCTCAGCTTTTTGGGCAAAAACACAAGTTTGCATGGAGAAATTTCTTGCAAGTGTTGCAGGGTAAGAAGTTTTGCAGTATGTGTTAGTGTAGTGAGGCGTTAACCCTTTTGCAAGTAGTTTAAGATGGCGACTTAACTCGCATGTTCAAAGTTTAAACGAAAAAAACGGGGCTGGTACGTTTAAGCAACCCACCCCTCCCCCATAGTGTGTCTAACGAGAGCTGAAGCCGGTGTGTGTGCAACTGTGCATGCATGAATGTGTGTGTGTGTGTGTGTGTGTGTGTTTGTGTGTGGAAGGGTTTGTTTGTACAGGAGCACCGCTTGTTTTTCCTCTCAGCGGCACATGAGGACTTTCTAGGATATTTTTCTAAACGAAAAGAGTGTCATCCCATACTGAACCCAAGTGAAAGTTGCATTATGATGTTCACAGTTATGTTATGCTCGGTTTATGGGTGAATAACAACAGCTGCTTCCAAAGTGTAAGCGAACCGTTCAGTTGAATGTGGCTCGGCTTGGTGAATGTAGGAGTGCGCGGTCGCGACACGCCCCCTTCATGATGACGCGGCACTGATGAGCGAGCATGCACTTGACCGATATGAGTGTGTGTGTGTGTGTGTGTGTGTGTGTGTGTGTGTGTGTGTGTGTGTGTGTGTGTGTGTGTGTGTGTGTGTGTGTGTGTGTGTGTGTGTCTGCCTGCCTGCCTGAAAAGCATGCACAGTTGCATTGGTGTGGGACTTACTTGCATTTCATTTTAAATACTTTGAAGTATGTTGACATAATTAGGATTTCTAATAGGTTTTTATATCAAAGGTGCCCAAACTCGGATCTGGAGGGCTGGTGCATGTCCTGCAAAGTTAAGTTCCAAATCCAAACCCAATTAGACACACCAGCACTAGCTACTAAAAAAAAGGATTTCTTTTCATAACTCCTAATGTCGCTAGTTAACACACACTCAATGCATTTTTTTAACACATCCCATAATTTCTAATATAGCAATCTCTACCAAATGGTCGATATGTCCTTTATGGTAAAAAATAACATTACCGGAATTAATACATATACTATGAAAAATCTCAAAATATAAAGTGTAAAACTAATTTATAAAAAGAAACTATTCAAAATAAAACATTTGAATACTAAATCATCTTTATTTTTTGATGTATGCCATAAAATGTTTCAGATTCTCATTTAACATGCTTTCTTTCTATTGTATTTTACAATAAATCCAAAATCAAGTGTAGTAGTGCAACAGGATTATGTTTGTTTGATTTGTTTTTATAAACCAACAATGCTGTGTAGTGTAAACCACTATTTAATACAGTCAACATATGTAAAACCTAACCAGGTATGAGGGCTGCAAATTATTTTTATGCTTTATTTTTGTTTTAATCTCGAGTGAATTGTCACTGTTAGGTAAACAAGCAAATAAAAATTCAAATATTGAACGTGTTAGATATGAAACAAGCAGTATAAATAGCTTTATACTTTTCCTTTTTTTTTACACAACAAAAAAACAAAACTCGTCACCCATATACCTGTATACATTTAGGTTCTATAAAAATATATGAGTAATATTAAGATAAATCACAAATACATATTAATGTTAAGTAAAACATACTTTACTCTTATATACTGTATAAAAGGAAAGAAAAGAAAAGGAAAAAAAAAACTTCTTCTAAAATAACTGAGGGGTCCATCTTCTTTATGTGATATAAAACAGGTTGCCAGGTGAGAAAAAAAAAAAAAATCAGTACAACCTCTTATAATATCCATTTGCTAAGTGTGAGGTCACACGAAGCGGCTTCCGGGTCCAAGCACTCTATCAAACTGTATGGGGAGACTCATCAGATGGTAATAATAAACATTTACAAAGCAATGTAATACTTTTGAAAATCACGATCGCAATATATAGCCACGCTTAATATCAGATGGCCAGAAAGTGATTCGTTTTTTTTTATAAATTGTTAAATTTTGATATTTGTGATGCAGCAATTCCAGAGATTTATCTGTACACTATGATTTTATATAAAATTCACTTTAATGTGTGACTAAAAATGAATATTTTCAAATGAGTAGCCGCTTGGACCTGGAAACAGTATTCCATATGTCACGACTTAACAAGCGGATATCATATTTTTTCTAAGGTCAGGTGGTGTAGGAGTTCCATAAGTCTTTGCTTAAAGTTTGGAGGAAATTTTCCTTCCATTTGAGCAGTATTAACCGTCTAGCTAAAAGCATAGCAAAGGCAATCATATTTATCTTACTTTTATTAAAGCGTAAGGGCTGTGGTGTGATACCAAATATTGAAATTGTGGCCTCATGTTCAATATAGGTATTTATGGGCCAGAGAGAAATTTAAATATCAGCTGCCAGAAATTCTTTTATTTTGAACAAGCCCAAAACATATGAGATCAATGTTACATCTGTCACATTTAGGCCCTATATTCAGTTTAAATTTGCCTAGTTTTACTTTGGACCAATGTAGTCTGTGTACTACTTTAAATTGTGTTACTCTATGTTTTAAACAAATTGAAGATGAGTGAATATTATCTAAAACGGTTTGCCACATGTCTTCTGATAATTCTATCTCTAGTTCCACATCCTATTTTCTTTTTAATTGCATTAGGGGTTCCAGATTATAGGAATTAATTAAAGCCTACATTTTTTTTTGTTTAATTGAGGTTTGTGCATCATCTGAAAGCCCAATAAATAAGCTCTTCATTAATGTATGTTTTATAAGGACTGAAACTGGAATCTGAGGATACAATATTTTATCTCAATTTTGAGAAATTAACCTTTAAAGTTGACCAAATTAAGTATATTTTAAAACAAGATGAAATAAAAGTTTAAGCAATGCACATACATAATAAAAATGCACCTTTTACATTTACATTGGGAAATTAAAAAATTTATTGATAGAAGATGACTGTTATGTAATCATAATGAATGGTTTTTGGAATCAAATAAAAATCTACAGTTTTGAGTCTTGCTGTGTTTTTTGGCAATTCCAACAAATACACTTGGTGCAGCCTCATAATACCTAACACCCAATGTCACAAATGAACATTTAACTGTCAGAATTTTAGATCTCAAAAAGTATTTAAAGGCAGTGTTCAAACTTCTTATTAAGTTTAATAAAAAAAAAATTACAATTCATTTTGTAATTTCAAGGATGTAATGGCTCTGTTTATCAATAAAAGAAACAGTTATTGAAGAAGGATTTCATACTCACCGTATATTTTCTAGCTTATGTTTCTAGATCAGAGGCAATTGTTTGAATTTGGGTTGCACGATTTTGGAAAAATCTGACATTGCAATTTTTTTTACAGTTTCATAAGATATTTTTTAATAGCTCTATTTGACAGTTTTATGGGAAGTCTAACAGTATTCAGGTACAAAAATTAAATAACCGCTATACAAAAAATATTTTTTTTTTACTTTTTTTTTTTACTTTACGTTTTCTAGTCAAAATATCTACAATTTTTAGAGCAAGTAAAATATTATTTTGTTTTCAACGTCAGAAGAAATAAGCAAAAACTAAAAAAACTAGCAAAATTATCTGCCAATTTGGTAAGTTAAATAATGTTGTTTTCACTTTCAAATATTATAGATATTTGGACTAGAACACGACAAAAATTCTGCATACAATTTGTTTTGCATAAATTGTATGAATTAGACATAAATAATTAAAAAAAAGAATCTTGGTTACTCCTCTAAACATCCAAATTTTTTTTTGTGCCCAAATGTTCTAATCTTTCTTGAAATGCTCAGTCACAGGCCTTAAAAACCCCTGCAAATGTCAAACTTTCACTCTATTATGGTTAAACTTAGCAGTGCCTTTACGGTCTGTGTATCATCCGTTCATTTGATTATTCCTTTTATTACGGAAAACGAAACATCAGAAAAACGACGAATATTTCGTTTTTCTGTTTATTCTGTAGGCAGAAAAAACGGAAACTCATCTGTTATTCTGCTTATTAACTTAAAACGAAATATTAAAACAAACACAAAACCAAAACGAAATAATGATTCAAAAAATGGTCCGTGTACGGTCCGTGTACGTTTTGTTAATTTGTTTTCCATTTTCAAACGGAATAAAGGAAATGGAGAAAACGGCCGTTTTTCCGTTTTTCTTTTGCTCACGAGAAAACGAAAAAACGAGATTTTGGCTGGATTTTCGTTTTTTGGTTTAGGGTAGGAAAACGGATAAACGACTTTAAAATTCATTTTACACATGTAGGCGGTGCTGAAACGCCCACTTTCCTCTAATTGGTCAACCAAATCTGCGCTCGTGACGTCACCTTTAAAATAAAAGCCTTACACGCAGGCTTTTAATTATTATTATTTAATTATATATATAAACAAAGTTTACATATTCTACCATTTGAACCACACACAGTTAGCAGGCTTACATTCATTGCGTATGTATAAATTAAACAAAAACGTAAAGCAGTATTCTTAGACATTTGTCATTAAAATAAGGTCACAGTTCACTGCCAATCTTCTTGCTGCTGTGCACCTGATGCAGAGCAAAGATAGCCATTTCCGAGGAGCACCTGGTTTGCATGATTGTTTCAGAGCAAGGGCTTTATAATAATAATAATAATTATTATTATTATTATCATTATTATTATTATTATTATCAGTTACTAGTGTTTTTATTGTTTGGTGTTTTTTTTTTTTTCTTTTTAATAGTTGTTAGCAGAACCAGAATAAGAACACTTTGGGCCCTGCTATAAAAACAAAGGGTACCATTTGTTTTCATTTATTTAATTGTTTTCTTCCTATTTTAATTATATATTGTAATTATTTATTTGATAATTAATACTATTTTATTGCAACGCCAAAGTAGGCCTGTCTTATTATTTTTTTTATTATTAAATTTGCTGTTATTGTGGGCTAGATGGCAGGCTTTAAATATTTTAAATAACATTTACTCATAACCTTACTAATTCGAGAGCCGAACCTAAAAAAGTTTAAGTGCAATAAGCCTGTACAATAAAGTGAGTCGCAATGCATATTTCTAGCGCATTCTTTCACTCAACAATTATTGCTGGAATAATTAAATAAATTTCAAATTAACTAATTAAACACATTAGTTGATAAAAAAATTGTGTCTAGTAGTTCCGACAAACAGATGAGCTCGCTGCATGTGCGTTGCGCTAATAATTTGACATTTGCTCTTCTTGAGAAAGTGCTACAGCGGGCCCTGCTATTTCACATATAAGGTTAGTGATACGTATTTTAAAGTAGTATTGCACATTATTCATTCATTTTCTTGTCGGCTTAGTCCCTTTATTAATCTGGGGTCGCCACAGTGGAATGAACCGCCAACTTATTTAGCAAGTTTTTACGCAGCGGATGCCCTTCCAGCCACTACCCATCTCTGGGAAACATCCACACATACACACACACTTATACAGTACGGACAATTTAGCCTACCCAATTCACCTGTACCGCATGTCTTTGGACTGTGGGGAAAACCGGAGCACCCGGAGGAAACCCACGCGAACGCACTACACTACTGAATTAGACACACAATCTCAAAAAAAAACTTGATGCTTATTTACATTATCTAAAGTCATTTCTTACTAGGTAGGATCTGTTGTTGTATTATATATTTTCGTTTTAATATGCAAATAATTTTCTTTAATTTGTAATAGGCCTATTGTCCCTCATTGCATAAAATAACCAGCCTTTGTATTCAATATGTTTGTAAATTGTCCATCCAGTTTGACGCAAGCTAAACAACATTTTGGCCTGTTTTGCTTATTAAATGAGTGATTTTCACGGAGAAACAAATCATCCATCCACACAGTTTTGTATAGGACCTGTGTGAACAAAAATATACACTTTATCATAGCCTATAGGAAAATGTATCTGTTTAAAACCAATTTTGTGTTGTATAATTAAAAATACTAAAAATACAAAAAAAAAAAAAAAAGGAATAACATTTGAAGTGCAATGCTTCAAAGATCCAATACGCTGCATGCAGAGTCAAAACAAAAACTGGTTTGTTTGTTTAATAAAATAATAATATGAAATTAAAGTGAAATAGTTCCATAACCTGTATTATAACTGTAGTCACCCTAGATGACAAATCATCCGTTGCGCCGGTCAGTTTCACCTTTAATCAAGAATGTGCCAGAACCAAATGAGAATATTTACAGATTACCTCGGAATGAGACCTCGGTCTGTGAAGGATGCAGAACACAGAAACTCGTTGAGAATGGAGATGCATGTTAGATGTTTTATATCCCTTTAGATATTGTAAATAAACAAGTTTTTATAGAGATTGTGTCATGTCTTTTCTTTGACGCACGCGCTGAACAGCCCCGAAAAGGCTCCTTTATTTAGCCTGTAGCCTAAATAATAGTTTAGATTTTATAACATATAATGTTCCATTACTTTAAATGTATAATGTTTTTTGATATTTATGGATTATATAAAATATATAGTTTATATAAATTCGCTCTGATCATTCAAGGATCATAATGCGTTGCATATTCTTCTTATTCTTCATTGATCCGTAAATTGTGTAGCTATATTTTATAAACTGATCGTTTATAAGGACTAAGCTTTTAATAACTGTAATTCCTCGAATGGAAAAGTCTTGATTAAAGAAAAAGATAACTAATTCGACATATGCATATAGTGCGCTTATTTCTGCGCGCATCGCGCGCTTTACCGAATTATCTTTTTTATTTTTTATGCACTATAAATGCATCTGGCAGCACCGAAAAGAGCAAATGCCAAGTTATTAGCGCAGCGCACAGACAGCTAGCTCATCTAGTCTGAACCAGGGGTTTTCAAACTATTCATTGCACACCGATCCCATTGCATTTTATTTAGGCTAAACCACTTATTTAAAATTAATTAATTAAAAGGTTGCCTGCGTACTCTCCAATACACCACTGAATTATAGTGTCATAATATTTAATAATTATAATTAAGATAGACACCTGACCTCCATTTAATAAACAATTTATTTGCCATACTCTGTTAATTTGAAGTTTAAAGTTTAAATCATTTATGTTAAACTTAAATTATTTAAAAACTTAAAAAGACTTAAATTTAGTCATTTAAGACATTTTAGGTCATAAGTTTACATACATTGACGTTGCATTTAGTTATTCTGGTCTAAATAAGCTTTTTGCATCTAGGGTGTTTACACACACAAATTAAGCAGTTTATACGTACATTTAATGTTACTTTGAAATTACTTTTGATGCAATAAATAATCCTAAATAGTTGAAAGTGTTAACATATTCTTGAAATGTAGTTATTTTATAACTATGAAAATGTATTACTAAACAAAGTGAATCATTATGAATTTGCCAAGAAATAATCCATTTTACCACTGTAAAGCAATGCCCCACACTCACTAGAACGGTAGAACCTGGACTGTATGATATGTTCTGTATGTAAAATAGAGAAAATAAGCAAGATGCGCAGTCTCATGCAGCCTTAGTAAAATATAGCGCGTCACAGCAATGAACTAAAAATAAAAGCACCCTTGAAATGCTGGCGATCTTAATTTTTTCAGCCTACACTGACTGAGAATAATGTTGCACTATTTTATTAACAAATAATTAGAATGTTTTTTTTTCCTTCAACACATTCATCATTACTTTTGCCTGTGCAAGTTTTTTGCGCGCGCTTGAGCGCGAAGGCATCTATTTTCAGGTGCAAGATGCCACTTTGGGTGGCACCAGCACACTCTGCCACACCTGTGGCTATGTCCCTGCTACAATAATAATAACAACAGCAACAACAACAAAAATAACAAAAAATAATAATAATAAGACAGGCCTACTTTGACGTTGCAATAAAAAAGTATTATTTATCAAATAAATATTTACAATAGGCTAAAGGCATATATTAAATTAAAATAGGAGAAAATCCAATAGAAACAAATGGTACCATTTATTATAGCCCCATGCAGGGTCCAATGTGTTCTTACAACCATTGAATAACTAAGTAAATAATAATAATAACAATACTAATAATAATAGGCCTAATAATAATAATAATAATAATAATAATAATAATAATAATAATAATAATAATAATAATAAATTATTATTTTATACAGAGTAGGCTATTATTTAGGCCTACAATAGCTCTGAAACAATCATGTAAACCAGGTGCTCCTCGGAAATGGCTTTCTTTGCTCAGCATCAGGTGCACAGCAGCAAGAAGCTTGGCAGTGAACTATGACCTTATTTTAATGACAAATGTCTAAGAATACTGCTGATTTACATTTTTATTTAATTCATACATACGCAATGAATGTAAGCCTGCTAACTGTGTGGTTCAAATGATAGAATATGTAAACTTAGTTAATATATAATTAAATAATAATAATTAAAAGCCTGCGTGTAAGGCTTTTATTTTGAGGGTGACGTCACGAGCGCAGATTTGGTTAACCAATTAGAGGAAAGTGGGCGTTTCAGCACCGCCTACATGTGTAAAATGAATTTTAAAGTCGTTTATCCGTTTTCCTACCCTAAACCAAAAAACGAAAATCCAGTCAAAATCTTGTTTTTTCGTTTTCTCGTGAGCAAAAGAAAAACGGAAAAACGGCCGTTTTCTCCATTTCCTTTATTCCGTTTGAAAATGGAAAACAAATGAACAAAACGTACACGGACCGTACACGGACCATTTTTTGAATCATTATTTCGTTTTGGTTTTGTGTTTGTTTTAATATTTCGTTTTAAGTTAATAAGCAGAATAACAGATGAGTTTCCGTTTTTTCTGCCTACAAAATAAACAGAAAAACGAAATATTCATCGTTTTTCTGATGTTTCGTTTTCCGTAATAAAAGGAATAATCAAATGAACGGATGATACACGGACCCTTTACAAACCACATGTATCCTAGTCAGCTATGATTCAGACTCAACATTGCATATCTTGCGATGTGACTATTGTGATGTGCACTTTGCGATATCGATGCTGAAATGATATATTGTGCAGCCCTAGTTTGAATGTTTATTAATATTAGAATTTTGTTATTTTATTATACAGTATTATATTGTATAATAAAATAATCATTATTTATTTTTGTCTCTCTGCAATCTGTTGTTTTTATCAAAACATTTGGGAAAAACCTTTTTTTCCCCCATTTTAATTTATTTCTGGCTCTATTTCAATGGTTTAACACATTGTAGTCTATTTAAAAGGAAATAATCACAATTAAATTAATTGTTCAACATTTTTTTCTTTAACAAAGTTTAGCAAACATTTATTTAAAATGCCAGTTCTCCTTTTCCAAGAAAACAAACAAAGCATTATTGATGACTCAACGATCCAAATGTTTGTTCAATATAACACCCATGAAAGAGAATATCCCCAAAAACACCTGTTACCAAATAGCGAAAGCACATGATGATTCACATTTGACTTTTAAAATAAGGAACAAGACCTTCAACTTGTCCGTGTTTCAAGAGGTCAACACAGAAAAACAACTGTATTTGTCAAGCAATTTCTTAAAGTCTTAAATGAACACTCCACTTATGTTTATGTTTGGAAAAAGCTCATTTTACAAGTCAGCTTGTCTGGATATAATAGGATAATTATTAAAACACAAACATTTTTGAGTGAGAGGCTATTCAATGATTCAATGATTTATGCAAAGGTAATAGTGCTTCCGCCAGGCACAGAGATTGGCTAAATGGAATCAAACATGGTAAAACTCAACTCTTTTACTTTAGGGAAATTGTAAAATGAGCCTATTAAAAAAAGTGGTGTTTCTTTAAATGTCATAAAACATGATCTTATTAATCAGGTGAAACTAATATTAAAACCGAACCAATCTCTTTGAACATGTGCTAACCGGCAAAGCAGATTGACATCTCTCGTTTTATGGCTTCAGTTTGCATGTGGCAGAGAGGAGGAGGAGCCGAGTTCAGGTGGACTCCTTAAACATGGCTGCCCTGCTCATCGCCTGGTCCTCAACGGCTTCAGACTACAAGACCAAACCCAAGTAGAGGCTCGAAGCCCAGTGAGAGGCCCTGGAGAGCCAGCCTGTCGTCTGCCATCTCCTGAGATGCCTCATCCAAACACGTCCTCTATCATCCCCGTACCACACGACAGGTCAGTCCTGATGGACTCATTTCATCACTGCAGCGAGATTTGAAGATGATTCAGTTTGGGTGGAATGGAAGTTGTTATATATGTATATATATATATATATATATATATATATATATTTATACAACAGTTTTGTCTGGTTCACAAATCTGATTGGCTGATAGCCTATTTATATTCTCAAAAATCAGCATTCATACAGCCTCTTCTCCCTTGTGTATTACTCCGCCACTCATAAAGCGACAAGCAGAGGACACTTTACAGTTTGACAAATTTTGCTGCTGTTGATCAACATAATGTACTTTTGAGGCTTTTTTTGGTGAGGATGTAGTTGTTTAGATTACAAATATGCAGTTTATTTATAAGGATAGTATCGTTTTTTAAAATAAATATAATTTTGGAGTTTCAGCACGTTGGCGGCCATCCGCAGAGCAAAGAATTTGACGGTTGACATTCTGCCACAAGATGGCAGAAGATACCGCATACTAAGTCCTTAGGGAGAAAAACTCAAACTTAATTTCAAACTACAGCTGATCAAATCAACCTGTTGTTCACTGCTGTCATCACTTTAGACATTATGCAGGAGAATCATTCAAGTAGCTCTAAAGTGATTTTGGTCAAGTAGCAACTGTTTCTGCTGTTCTGACGTTAGCTGCAGATGAGAATGATGGAAGAAAGTAGTTTCTCGTACAAAAAGATTTCTGAGACTCTTTGTGTTTGATTTTATATATACAAACATGATTATGCTGTCAAACTGTAACTATAAACGCAATATCACAGTTGTAGCTGTGCGATATGGCTGTATATCTTCACTGGCAGGAGACTAAGGCACTCAGTATATTGGTACTAAGACTTCATATTAGTGCCGAAATACATTCAATTTTATATTAGGGAAATATATTTTTTTATAAAAATTAGGAGAACATTTTTTTAATTTTAAATTTATTTGGCAATATTTCACATGCATTTAAATACAGTCTTTCTATTTCTAAAGCTGTTTGATGACAAAAATATTTTTAATAAATAGACCTGTTTAATAAGTCTTAATAAATTTGTTCAAATGTTCACATCAAGATCAATGTAATTAATTTTTTTCTCCCGTAGGAGAAATTTGTTTTTAGAATAAAGGTTCTGCTGTACATAGACACCAACAAGACAACATGTAACATATATACAAATGAAAAATCTAATCCTGAAATACCTCTTAATATAAATAAGATTCCATAAAATCAATAATTAAAATTTTTTTTATATAAAAATAAAATACAAGGTGCCCCCACTGCCTTCTGTTATGCACACAATCCAGTTATCTTAATCTTTGACCGTCTTACTCTACTTGCTCATTGATCAATTTAATTGAAAAGGGAACAAAAGAATGTTTTGATTGATTATTCTTGAATAACGGGTCGTGTATCTTCTGCCAGAATTCATCAGCTCATAATTCAAAGACAGCACATGCGGGGAATCAGATAAAATCTAGTTGAACAGCCCAATTCTGCATAACCCAAGTGAACCAAGTGTCTTGATTCCCATAATTTTATTACGTTATTTACTTGCACAACAAACAATAATTCCATATCTTAAAATAGACTCTATTGTTGCTTTATAAGGTGTTAGCATTTTGCTGCTACTCTGAATAATTGTTGTTTACGTAAAAAGTGTAAGCGCTGATGAATTCTTACACAAAGACTTGACATCTGAGAGGGCCAATTAAGCTCACAATCAATATTCACCCTTAAATATTTATATGAAGCAACCTGCAACATAGAAGTATAAACATTAGTTTAACTTTATTTTATATAGCGCCTTTTAAAGAGCCATCTCAAAAAGCTTTACATATTAAAAGTGAAGTATAAAAAAATGCAAACAAGAATACATGCATAAAAGACAATTATAATAAAAATCAAAGAAATATTTAAAATCACATTTTTGTAGCACTTCTCTTTTAACACCGTTTAAAAAAGAGTTTAATAAATGTATGTGACTCTGCATCATAAAACCAGCCACAAGGATCAATTTCAGAATACTCTGAAAAAATTATATATATATATATATATATATATATATATATATATATATTGCATATATATATGCATATTTTGTTAGGATTGGAAAATATTGGGCCGAGATATGAGTATTTGAAAATCTGGAATCTGTAAAAAATGTAACTTTGAAAATTTAAAATATATATAAAAAATCAAAGTGACTAAAATGTTAGATTTAATTCTCATAATTAAATATCAAATATAGGTAATAACTAGAAAATTACTGAAACACCTTTTTAGCAAAATGCTAATGGTCTAATCTGAATCTATGATTTGTGCTAAGCTAAGCTAAAAGTGCTACTGCCAAACTTGGAGATGGTAAAACTCAACTCTTTTACTCTAGGGAAGTTTTAAAATGAGCCTATTTCCAAAACACGTGGAGTGTTCCTTTAAACATCATTTCAAGAGTTCACACTTAGATATTGCTTGATGCTATTAGCAGGTTTGGCATGCTGCCCTGGGACAGAACCCTGAGCTCGGAGAGTATTGATCCCAGGGCTCCCGCCTGGTCAATAAGCTTGCAAGCGGGTCCGAGATCAGATAGGTCTTGAGAGAAAAAGTTGGAGATGGGGTCCAAAATGAAGATAAGGCAGTAGGGTAAATCGGTCTATTTATTGTAGGCTTGGATCTGTCTTATTGGATTATTGCTGATTACTGATGAGAGACCAGCCACGATCGATCATATCACTTGCTCCTCTTTAAAGTAAGTTTGTAAAACTTCATAAAACACAATCTTATTAATAAAGCAAAACAAATATTAATATGTGATTGGAACCAAACTGCATAATTGTTTTGATCTCTTTCTACACTTGCTAACTGGCGGAGCGGAATGGCATCTCTTGTTTTATGGCTTTTTTGGGGAGATATTTACAAAAAAAAAAGTTGACTTTTTGAGAAAAAACAGCAACATCCCTTTCACCAGGCTGGCTACATGCCTGCATACACTTTATAAAGAATGAATGGGTGTGTCCAAACTTCTGAATGGTTTTGCAGTTTGTTATTCACATGCTTCAGAGAAAGCTGTGTTCAATTCAAGCATACTTAAGATAAACATGAAAGACATGCCTAACATAAGTCATCATAGATCTTGCTTGTACTACTATTGATATGATTGTTGTTTTATACACTTCTTGGCTCAGCATGGAATGAAATGTTGCCTGATCGGACAAGTTTTTATCTGTTTGGTGGTTAAACTGTTATCCTGTTTGCCTGAGAATCTATATTAGCATTTAGTTGCTTACAAGCCTCAATGGTGATCTGCATTAACATAAATTCTTAAATCATTCTTGAGACCGAAATTTACGCTTCTGTGGCTTTTTCACTGCTAAAGTGAATATTAGCATACCAGAGACTGATAGTAATGTGATGGCGCAGGATGGTTGGTGTGGAGGAGACAGATGGGCTGCTTGGTCAGCGCTCAGTCAGTGTTTATGCAACCTTCGTTCGTTTTCTGCCATGTTTATAAGGAATGTCTGATGAAATGTAGGGTTTTGTCCTACTCTCTGTTTATCTGTTTTTTTCATTTCTAGTTGTTTACTTTTGCACTCTCATTCTTTCATTCTCATCTTTTTTTCAGTTATGATGTCATCATAAATACATCTGTTAATACAATGCTCTCTTGTCAATAAAAATGAAGTGATTCTTTTCCAGAGTGTTTAATGTGCTATTGTTTATGAAACCAAAATGATATAAAATTTTAATTATTTTTCAAGTATTTCCCAAGTACTGTTTTACAGAGCAAGGACATTTTCACAGTGTTTTCTGTAATATTTTTTTATTTCTGAGAAAGTCACGTTCATTTTAGTTTAGCTGGAATATATGCAGTTTTTTTTTTTCAAACAATTTTTAAGGGTCAGTATTATTAGCCCCCCCTAATAATACTTTTTTTTTGATGTCTACAGAAAAAAAACACTGTTGTCAACTCAAAAAATTCCTTAAATAATGTTTTATAACTCTTTAAAGCAGCACATTTTAATATATATTTATTACATCGTTTATGTTTTACCATCATGGTTAAAAAAATGCTAAAATAAAAACCGCTAACTATATCCCTAATAATAACTCCTGTACAGCAGTCCCACAATATTCTGACACTGCTATAATGTTAATGTTGTTTTCGTGTGTTTACAGATGAATATGGCCACTGTGTAAATACACAGTAAAGTTACGATCTTATTGCCATATTATATCGTAATCAATGCATCCTTACAATATATCACTTTAAACTATTAAAATGTTAATAAAGGTCACGTTTTCCAAACTTTCAAGGGTAAAAGTTGGTCCCTTAATGCAATTCAAAAGGATAAATAACAAAAAAAAAAATACAAATAAATAAAAACAAAAAATACAAAATACAGAAACTGTTAATTTATTGATATTTTTTATAGTTTATGGTTATGGTTAGGGTTTGATTTCACTATTTTGATTTGATTCCAAACTAGTGTAAAGTGGTTGGATGCATTCAAACATCTACAATATTTAGCATAATGTGTGACTACTGGTTGGCTGTTTTTCAACTGTGAATGAAGTGATGAAATGCGTCTGACACCAATGTGCCTTAGCTGTTTCTTTTCTCTCAACACTAGAGATTTGACCTCGAGTGACTTTTAGTCAGGTGTGGCTTAGCCAAGAGAGAAAGTTAAAACGTTTTTTTCATGTTGATTGTATTAAATGGAATAGAGGCTTTGGCTGAAAGATGTTTAGGTAGAAAAGTCATCTGTTTTAGTATATGCACAAACTATAACCAGGAATGAGAAATAGTTACCTTTGAGTCAAACTGGGTGGATGTTTTTCAGACTGTGAGTTGACAAGGCATTTGTGTGTGTGTGTGTGTGTGTGTGTGTGTGTGTGTGTGTGTGTGTGTGTGTGTGTGTGTGTGTGTGTGTGTGTGTGTGTGTGTGTGTGTGTGTGTGTGTGTGTGTGTGTGTGTTTAACTAAAAGTGCTGATATGGCAAGCTCAGG